ACAGTCTGCTTCTGTCTTGACTATCTTAAACAGTTTAGTATTATCTGCAAACTGTACCACCTCACTGCTTACTCCTTTTTCCAGATCATTTATGAATAAGTTGAACAGGATTGGTCCCAGGACTGACCCTTGGGGGACACCACTAGTTACCCCTCTCCATTCTGAAAATTTACCATTTATTCCTACCCTTTGTTTCCTGTCTTTTAACAAGTTCAAGGCTTAATTCAAAATAAGCTATGCAAATTGAGCTACATCAAATGCATATCTTATTTCAAAATAGGGAGTGTCCACACAGCACTTATTTTGAAATACAGCACTCCTCCACCAAATTCCCTTATTCCTTGTACAATGGGGGTTACAGGAGTCGGAGTAAGAAATCTTCCAGCTTGCCAGTATTGTGACACTATTTTGAAATAACTGCCTGCTATGTATACATGGACTAAGTTACTTTGGAATAGCATAAGTTATTTCGAAATAGTGTTGCAGCATAGACATACCGTAGGAAACAGCACTGCCTCTCATGGGTGTATGACTATCCTGCATGTCCAATGGCACTGGGAACAAGACTATTCAGTGTTGCAGTGGCACCAATTTATCCTCATAATGCCTCATTTCTTTCGTTTTGCTTAACCAAGAGGAGACGCTGTCGGGGGAGGGTGTTTGTCTAGCTGGGTAGCAAGCCTCTCTTCTCTCCCCCCTCGCTCTCTGCTATCGTCACTCAACCCCCAATCCCAGCCCCTGGAGGTTGGACAGGGTCAAACTCCCTTTGGACAGCTGAGAAACAGCAGCTCAAGGACATGTCCTGTGACGCAGAAAGGCTGCAGCAGAGCAGGAGCGATGCAATGTGATGCTGCCAAGGACAACCTTGCAGTGCAGCACATTTAGGTTGCCTATGACCTGCTTGCTTGCTCCTTTGAATATGAACCAGCAAAGTGAAGTTGATGAGCCATTCCCTGAGGCACAGGGTTTTACTGGGAACCCTAGGTCAGCTGTATGCATAGCAAGTCACTAATAGCCAGCATGTAAGGCTGTGTCTACATTGGCACGATCTTGCACAAAAGCAACTGCTTTTGCACAAAAACTTGCTGCCTGTCTACACTGGCAAGAATGTATACATGTTCTAATGTATGAAATCAGTGCTTCTTGCACAAGCACTCTGATGCTCCCGCTCAGGAATAAGCCCTCTTGCGCAAGTGTTCTTGCACAAGAGGCCAGTGTAGACAGGCAACATGAATTACTTGTGCAAGAAAGCCCTATGGTTAAAATGGCCATCGGCGCTTTCTTGCGCAAGAGAGTGTCTACACTGGCATGGATGCTCTTGCGCAAAAGCACATGCCAGTGTAGACACTCTCTTCTGGAAGAGTTTTTGCGCAAGATCATGCCAGTGTAGACATAGCCTAAATGCTTTACAGACAGCCAGGAACTAGGGCTGTCGATTATTTCATAGTTAACTGTGATTAAACTAAAAAAATTAACTGTAACTAACTGCATAAACAACAGAATATCAACTAACATTTAGTTACAGTTGTGGATGTTTTTCTACATTTTCAATATTGATTTCAATTATAACAATACAAAATGTACAGTGCTTACTTTATATTATTACAAATAAATGCACTGTAAAATGATAAACAAAATTATTATTTTTCAGTTTACCTCATAAGTGCAGGAGTGCAAACTCATGAATGCACAACTGTACAAACTTTACTTTTTGTTTATTTGGTTACAAAATTGCACTCAAAACCATGTAAAACTTTTGAACCTGACATTCCATTCAGTCTTACTTCTTGTTCCACGGTTCACTAAGGCAAACAGATTTGGGAAGATACGGCTATCTGCTTCTTATTTAAAGTAATATCAGGTGTTCAAATACCACTTTTGTAGTCAGCATGGAAGGTATTTACTGCCAAATATGCTAAACTGTATGCCACTTCATGCTTTGGCCACCATTCCAGCAGCCAGACCTACCAGTAACCCCTTCTGGTCACCAGCACTGTGACCTGTATGGGTGGATAATATTTAAGGCCTTCTAGATCCATACCTGAAATTACCATGTTAAAGCCTTGATGTGAAATCAGGTCCCCTGGAGGTGCCACCTCAGACAGGGTTATTGGGGTAGGGGGAGAAGGTGGAGACAGACATAAATCCCTGTCTAGCATTTGGCTGCCTCAAAGTGATGTCTATTGAACCAGATGGCAATTAAGATATTGCAAAATCTGCGAGAAAGGAGTATCCAGGGAAAAACCACCAGTCATGGTCAGGGGAAAGAGGGCTGCTTCTGACCAATGGACTTTTTTGAGGGTGCAGACACATTTTAAGTGGCACCATAAAATGATTTCATTTCAGAACTTCTATGGGGTGCACTAAAAATATTATTTCTTTTTTCACAGTGCAAACACTGAAATTAATAGATTTGAAACTGTAGAAAAATATAATAAATTTCAGCTGGTATTTGCTTAGCAGTGTGAATAAAAAAAAGTAGCAGATAATTGCAGGTTAAGTCTCGCAACGGTGTGTGTGGTTTTTTTTAATCATTCAAGAGCCCTAGTTCTAGTGCTTTTGCGGAAAAGCATCCATGCCAATCTAGATGCTCTTTTCCGCAAATGCTTTTAACGGAAAACTTTTCTGTTAAAAGCATTTGTGGAAAATCATGCCAGTCTAGACATAGCCTCTGTGTCTGGAGTCAGACCTTGGCATAGGTTTCACCTCTGTCCCATCCCACTTGCTGAGCATTTGCCATACCCAGCTCAGAGTCCATGTTCCTTAGCTCAGAGACACCCTCAATGAGGTTGGAACACTGTCCAATCCCCACATGAGGTATTTGGTTTAGGAAGGTAGGATGATTTAAACTTCACAGCTAAAATTTTTACATCTTATTTCAGTCTGAATTTGTCTAGCTTCAGCTTCGAGCCATGGGTCACTCCTTCCCATCGGTCCCAGAGAGGAAACAATTGAATTAAGGGTGCCATCACATTGGCTCTAAGGTGCCTTAATGGTGCATTCCCATAGCCTGAACAGACCATATTATTTTAACTTAAATACTTGAGATTTCTTGGGCTGGCAACGTTTGGTTTAGGGATAATTCCCTGCAACATAGTCTACACTAAATTACTGCTATGTGCTTGCAAACGTAACTCCATCTTGATGTCCCCGGTTACAATTCCAGTTTGTCCCAGAGTTATGCCTGTACCCCTATTTAAATTTGCTTTTCAACTGTTCTTAATTTGGTATCATCTGCTAGCTTCTTTAACATGCAGTTTGGCCAATCACTAATATAAACAATCAGATCAGACCCAATGTGTCACCCTGCCAGTATACTTTGCCATTCATCATTAACTTTGTGCTCCTGCACATAGTTTTCAATTAATGAACCACTATTGGATCAAAGTCAATGAATACATTTTAATAAATTAATTAAGTTACATTGAGTCACTCTACCAAATGCTTTACTAAAACCACAGATGATGTATTTATTACAAAAAGGTAAGGACATGGGGAGTGAAAATATGATCCAGTTAAAAAAGTTGAAATATTTTTAAAACAGCCAAGACCGGTCTCTTATTAACACAGATCACTTTTCTTGCACTGAAAGAGCAGTTTTGAGCTGCCCTTATGCAAACATGTGGTTCTTGTGTGCTAGGCCTTACACTTTATTACCTGAGAGCTTCTGCAGGGAAAAACAAGAGGGGTCTGCCTATTCTCACACATCTGATATTGTATCCTGTGAACATATTTGTAAATATTCTGAACATAAAAGTAATAATGGGGGAGAGCGGGTTGTTTAATGGCAACTTCAATCCATTCAGCATCCCATGACAGGATGCTGCTCCTCCTGCAACAGCAATTCAACAGTGAAGAGTACGAAAGGCTGCCCTCAAGAGAGTCTGTGCAGCCTGACAATGGCTAATGAAAAATCCTCACAGGAACAAGGGTTGAGTTGTCCCATCCACAAATCAATGTTAAATAAAACATGATGAGATAATGATGGAAGGATGGGTGGGGCCATCCAGCAATTCCAGGTATTTTCTTTTTGCACACTCAGCGGGTCACTTGTGTCTTGAAGGATTTCTTTCTTCTCTGCATTCTTCATGGCTGCAGTAATTTCATATCTATGTTGTTTTTCCAAGCTCAATTTTCTTCTGAATGGCACGAGCAGAGTGATAGATCAAGGAGTCTATGAGGCCTGCCACTGAAAGAAGAAAAGAGAAGAATCAGCCCAGACATTCCACACTGCAGTGAAGAAAATGCCTTATCGCGTGGGATAAGCATAGAAATCTTCCCCAGTTACAAAGTTCCAGCTCCACAGCACAGAGACTAGAACCCTAACAACCCTTTGGAAAAGTGTGGAGACCCTGACCTCCAATGGAGACAAGATGTGATTATGCTTCTCAGAACAAAGAGCATCCTCAATAAGGGTATGTCTACACTAGCTCATTAATTCAAGCTAGGTAGGCAAATCAGGCAACCGGAGTTGCAAATGAAGCCCGGGATTTAAATATCCCAGGCTTTATTTGCATGTTCCCGTCCGGTCGCCATTTTGAAATTTCACTAGCCCGAAGTAACTGCTGCACGGCTGCACGCGGCAGTGAAACGGTAATTCGAACTAAGGGCTTAATTCGAATTAACTGTTACTCCTCATGGAATGAGGAGTAACAGTTAATTTGAACTAAGCCTTTAATTACCGTTTGACTGCCACGTGCAGCCGTGCGGCAGTTACTTCGGGCTAGTGAAATTTTAAAATGGCGACTGGATGGGAACATGCAAATAAAGCCCGGGATATTTAAATCCCGGGCTTCATTTGCAAGTCCGGTTGCCTGATTTGCCTACCTAGCTCGAATTAAGGAGCTAGTGTAGACATACCCTAAGACAGATACACATGCACTGAAGAATTAAAGAGCCAAAAGAATAAAAACAAAACGCCCCTCCGTTGACAGGTGGGCTCCTAGTACTGTGTGTTTCATTGTGCATATTTATTTTCAAGCATTTTTTCATATCATCAAAAACCCAACCACCCTGTTTAAAACAAGATTGAGATCTGTTTACTAAAGGAATTGCTTCTGGAAAGCTTTTCCCTGAGTCAAGCAAATTTTCTAGACAAATATGACTCAAATGTAGTAACAACAGAGATTCCGTAATATTTCTTTAACTCTGTTATTGTTTCAAGTGGAAATTCTGTGTAAAGTCAGCTTCTTTTCGTACTGCCACTTATGGGGGAATTAGACATTATTGTATTTATACTTACACTGTAACCTGGATTTCTGTAAATAAATTAACTTTCATTCCAATGATTATCGCTTCAAATGATGTGCAGTAGCTCTGGGAAGGTGACAAAATCCTTAATCTTTGCCCAAAGGATCTTCAACCTACATTTCAGATCTAGCATAAGCAGGGTGACATGCTTGTACATTTTAGGGGAAAAAAATTGAACGAAAAGTTCTGATACCTGTAAATACTCCTCCAACAATGGCACAGACTCCTGTCAGGAAGTGTGTAAAGGGCCTGGGGAGAGGAAATCAGGTTGAATAAACCCCCACAATTTCAGGCACCATGACTATAGATCAATACCTAAACAGATCACTTGAAAGTTTTAAATATGGAGTTTAAACCAAAAAAAAGGAAGAGCTTGAAGGCGAAGAAAATGAAATCCCAAAATTCTATCAGTACAGGTCAGATTCTGCTACCACCATCATATATATAGTAGCCCATTGTCTGTGACTCCGTAACACTGAAATGCTGGCTGTTCCCTCTGGGCAGCGCTGTTGCCTCCCGCCGTGGCGCTCAGCTGACTTTTGCGCCACTCAGCCGGGCCGCCACGCAGAAGCAAGTGGCGCAAGCGGCCGTTTGGGTCAATGCTCCCCATGCAGCACCCGTGCTGCATAGGGAGCGCGGGGCCCAAATGGCTGCTTGCACTGATTGCTCCCCCACGGCAGCCCAGCTGAGCGGTGCAGAAGTCAGCCAAGCGCTATGATGGGAGGCAAAGGGGGGTGGGCCGGTGACATGCATGCCCAGGGGGCGGAGCCTGGACGAGCGTGCATCCCTGACAGAGACAGAGGAGAGTGGAGAGAGAGTGAGAGGCAGGATGGGGAGAAGAGAAAGAGAGATGGAGAGAGAGGCAGAAGGTGGAGGAGAACTGAGAGAGAGAGGGGGAGGCAGTAGGAGGAGGAGAGAGAGAGAAACGGAGCGAGAGACCGGAGGCTCGTGAGAGAAGACCGATGTGGAGAGACCTGCATGACAGCGGCTCTGGGCCCCGTCCCCTCGCTGTGAACATCACCATCCTGCACCCCCTTCGCCTCCCGCAGTGGTGCTCGGCTGACTTCTGCTGCACTCAGCCGGGCCACTGCTTGGGAGCAAGTGGCGCAAACTGCCGTTTGGGCTCCGCGGTCCCCCGAGTGAGAGGCAGGAGGGGGAGGAGAAGAGAAAGAGACAGAGAGAGAGGTAGGAGGAGGAGGAGAGCTGAGAAAGAGAGAGAGAGAGACTTAGTGAGAGACCAGAGGCTCAGGAGAGAAAACTGACGTGGAGGAGAGACCTAAAAATTCCCTCTTATGATGGGCTAATTGGCTAGTTCATAAGAATGGCCATACTGGGTCAGACCAAAGATCCATCTAGCCCAATAACCAGTCTTCTGACAGTGGCCAATGCTACGTGCTCCAGAGAGAATTATCAGAACATTATGAGAATTATCAGATGTAATCAAGTGATCCATCCTCAGTTGCCCATTCCTAGCTTCACACAAACAGAGGCTAGGGACACACCTTCCTAATAGCCACTGATGGACCTATCCTCCATGAATTTATCAAGCTCTTTTTTAAACCCTGTTATAGTCTTGGACTTCACAATGCCCTCTGGCAAGGAGTTCCACAGGTTGACTGTGCATTGTGTGAAGAAATTCTCTCTTTTGCTTGTTGTAAGCCTGATACCTATTAATTTAATTGATTCCCTACTTCTTGTATTTTGGAAACAGTTAGATAACTTTTCCTTTGTTACTTTCTCAAACCAATCATGAGACCTCTCTCATATCCCTCCTTAGTTGTTTTTTTCCACACGGAAAAATCCCAGTTTCATTAATCTCTTCTCATATGGCAGCCGTTCCAAACCCCTAATAATTTTTGTTGCCCTTTTCTCAACTTTTTCCAGGGCCAAGATACCTTTGAGATAAATTGACCACATCTGTATGCAGTATTCAAGATGTGGGTGTACCACAGATTTATATAGGGGCAATAAGATATTTTCTGTCATTCTCTAACCCTTTCTTAATTATTCCTAACATTTTGTTAACTTTTTTGACTGCTGCTGCACATTGAGTGGATGTACATTCAGAGAATGTATTCAGGCTGAGTAGTGCCATATTTTGCAAATAGGCCCATTGATTTGAATGACACTATTCATGAATTCATATGCTTCCTTTAAAACATAAAATCCACACAGGTCTTTATCACAAATAATTTACCAGCACCACCGATTTGCACTGACAAGCAAAAATTCCAAAACCAAAACAACCAACCCACCCAACCCCCTAATATATGATTAACATGAAGACCATGGAAAAGTTCTGGTATCATAAAGCTAAGAAACAGTGCATAGTCTGCTTGTTTGAGGGTGTCTATTTAACCAACAGTAATACGTGTTTTTCTTTTATAAGAGAAATAGGTTCAGGAACGACTATGTTCAATGCAGCTAAAATAGGACCCTTGGCTTTTCAGTTTGCTCAAGTCTGGATGATTTTGTTTAATGAAGCCAGGCTTTAAAATGAGTGTTCCAATGAAAAGGGAACTCTCAGTACTTCTGTTATAATTTACTTGTAATGGATGGAATACAATCTTCATGTTGCATTGATGTGATTGTGTTTGATATTAACCACCAAATATTAATATCTTAACTCTTTGCTATTGTACTTTCAACACTGCATGCAAATATAAGAGACTCTGCTGAGAGATAGCACCACAAAAGCCCACTCCCCAAAACAGATAAACCATGCTGTATACTGTGATCACATTTTTTAATGTTTTTAACACAAAAGACATAACTCCTGGAAAGTTTATTTGATGGCAACTTTAATTCATCCATCCATCAAAACTATTTCATTGCAACACAGATGCTGTGAATTCTCCAGAAAACTGATTTAAAAGCTTGGCTGAATTAAGCTAAACACCGACAGTGTTTTACTTAATGAATACTGGTTAGGAATAGTTGGTGTTACACTGTAAACCTACATATGCCATCCCCAAGATCGCTTCTTGTAATAAATTCATAGAAACCCTCCTGAAAACATCCTAAAGCACACATTGCTTATACACTGCATGTTACCATCACTACAGGCTCTATTCTAAAATGTTGGGGAATCTGGAGAGGTTCAGGTTGCACAAGAACTGGCCTCACAGACATCTTCCAAGTAAGGTGAATGAGGCAATTAGAAACATGCCCTTACCTGTGTTTCTCTGTCAGTTTCACCATCATGGGAGAAAGTTCATAGAGCACAAATACACCAGGGAGGCCCTGATCTCCTATTAGCCCATTGGCTATTTTCTCATGTCGGGTAACTGAAAACTGGTTAGTCCTCACCACCTGCCAGGAGACAAATGGGAGAAATCTTATTTCATTAATTAAGTAACAAAAAGACTGAATGGTGTGGACTGCACTTTGGAGTCCCTGCTGAAGGCCACCCTGTCCATAGAGCATACCAGAAGGGATACTCCCAGTACTAACCCTTTTTTCGCTAAAGACGATAATACTCCCAGTACTAACCCTTTTTTCGCTGAAGACTGATTTCGCCCTGACAGATTCTACAGAACTGAGAGTTGGGAACAAGAAGCATAAGCCCCCAAGTGCTTTGCAATTTTTGGCCACTTATGGTGGTGATAATGGGTGGGAACTAGTTCCACCCCCAACATCTTTGGAACCTTGCTAATAGTTCTTTCTTTAGGGCTGCCTTCAGGAGCTGGGCCATTCCAGCCACTATTGCAGCACTTCTCAACCCCTCAGCTTTGCCTGCTCAGTGTATTTTCCCCTAACATTCCTCTCTGCCTTCCAGTCTTTGGAATTTTTATTCTGGTGACCCTTTGGTTCCCCAGCTGCTAGTATTTTCTCCATGGCCTGCAAAGACTAGAGGAATGACAGTTACCTGTTCCATAACTGGTGTTCTTTGAGATGTGTCACCCATGTCCATTCAACATAGGTGTGCATGTCTGCCACATGCACTGGTGCCAGAAGCATTTCCCTAAGCAGTACCTTAGAGGTTGGGGTCTCATAACCCCGTGGAGTGGCATACATATACCAAGCTCCCCTGGCTTCAAAGCCTACACTGCATGCTTCAGGCTTATGCCAGTCAGCAATCTGCATGCTGTCTGTGTTGCCTGGAGGGAAGTGGGGGGAGGACAAGTTTTGGACAAGTGTCGTATCTGCAGGTCCTTCTGTCCCAGAACCATTAAAGGAAGGGGCATTTGGCTCCAGGTGCTACTAATGGAGTCCGCACTTGCTGCACAAGACCAAAGGTAGGACTTGGCACTAAAACACTGGTATGCAGAGCACTGCTGTTCCCTGGGGAAACATTTGAGAAAGCCGGGCAGAGACAAGTCCCCTCTGTCACGTTGCTGGATTTTAGGGGAGCAGCCAGTTCACTGCTGCACCCATGGGGGGGTGTTTGCCCCAAAAGCAGGTACAAAGGGGGCCATGCGAGGTGTCAAACAAAGACTTCCCTTTTACTGATTCTGTATATGCTATTCATATACTTGTATATTGTCTGTGTGTGGAGTTATAAATATGTCCTCTGTATTGATGCTGGAAAATTCTCTGTCTGAGGCAGAGCAATGGGCCAGGAATGTTTGCTCAATGATTATGCTGATGAGCGAGGCTCCAGTGACAATAGATCTCTAAATGCCAGACACACCTGGGGAATGAAGCTATAGGCCTGGCCGCTGACCATGTGACTCTCCAGCTTGGAAGAGACCAAGGAAGTATATAAGTGCCATGTGGCATCCTCCATTTTTTGTCTTCAGTTTTGCTCCTAATCCCAGATGCAGCCTTGCAGGGAAAGATGAGCCGGAAAGAACTGTGGACCCATCCTGACATAGGATGTACACCAGAGACTTTTAAACTAGTGGTTATAACATCTCTGCTAGGAGCCTGTATAGAGAACTGGGTGATTTGATGCATGTAATGTATTATCCTTCAACAACCTTACTCTCATGCTTTTCTTCCTTTTAGTAATAAACCTTTAGATTTTAGATTCTAAAAGATTGGCTTAGCATGATTTGTGGGTAAGATCCGGACTGTAAATTGATTGGGACCTGTGGCTAGTTTCTTGGGACTGGAAGAACCCGTTCTGGGTAGGTGAGATTGGGTTCTAAAACCCCACACCTGTGTGTTAGGCCCGGGGCTGATTGGGGTACGGATAGAGCTGGGATATCACAGGGGTTTTGCTCGGGAGGTTTCTGGCTGGCCAGATCGGCAGCTGAAGCGCTCAGTGTGACTGGTTTGTGGCCTATTTGGGAAGGGCCTCCAGTCTGGGGCTGTACAGAGCCCAAGTCTGAGCAATTCGCCCTGAATGGATGCCCTCAGCTGTGCCCAGACCCAGCCCGGTCCATCACACCCTCATAAAGACTTATTTGGCAGAAAACTTTATTCTTTGTCCAGTTTTCAGCTGAGAATGGCGAACCACCAGGCGCTGTTCACCCGCTATGAAGTTAATACGATGCAGGCATTGGTCAAGTACAAATCCTCCCTACAGCACGGGCCGTGCAGGGAATGTAAGGCCCTGGTGAAGGAAGGGTCTTCAGTAGCAGTGGCAAAGCTTCAGGGGGCTCAGCAGCTCATTCCATGGCATCAGCCATCTCCATGTAGCATGCACAGTCTGGCTCCTCCTTTCAGAACTTTCTTTGGAGGCATAGAACGCCATTCGGGACCCTAACTCCTCATTTTTTGAGGAGTAACGTTAGTTCAAACCAAGGGGTTTGGTACGAACTAACGCGTCCCGGCGTGCACTTCCTGGTTCGATTCAGCTGTGATTCGAACTAGTGCGCTGGCCAGATCTTGCTAATGAAGCACGGGTTATTTAAATCCCCACTTCATTAGCAATTTTGAATGCCTGCATTTGCATCCCTAGCCCGAACTAGGGTGCGAGTGTAGACATACCCTTAGTGTACACAAAGATCTCGGTTCAAACAATGGCGATGTGTTTCATGCAAGGCCACATTTTTGCTTTAAAAGGGGCACTTTAGAGCAGGTGCACAGACGTCTCAGGGGAGCATTGGGACACACTCAGTCTGGAAGCAGGCAGCCATGATAAAGGGAAAGCTAGGCCACAAGCCTGCAGGTGGGAGGGGTGTGGTACCAGAGGGTAGCTTCCCACTGTGTACACCACACGTGGCTTCTCAGGATAGTGCAACTTTCCCAGCCCGTCTGGGAGCCTGCAGGTAGTGGTGGTAGGGGAGGGGAAGTGAGAAGGGGTAGGCTGGCTTTCTGCTGTGTCTTGCACATGCCAGGGCCAACACTTGGACTGCCACCAAGACAGAGAAGTTGTCCATTTCCCAAGTGTGGTGCAAGAGGCCTGCTTCTGCTGGGATCTTGGCATCCTTAGGCTCTATTAATACAGGTGCAGCCATGAAAACAGAGAATTGTAGCATAGTGGCCCTTCAATGGAGAGGTGTGGGAGTCCTTTAGCCCATGCAGCTTAGTGTGTGTGTGTTCTGTAAACTGGGTATCCATGCTGAAGGGTGGGCGGGCAAGGTTATGGCTGGTGGCCTGTTCCAGGCAGGTCATCACACACTCCCATCACAGATGTCAGGGTGGAGAACATTATCTCGTAATGGTGTGTGAGCTGCTCCCCAGTGGCCTTCCTCTCCTCCCGCTCAGCCCTTCTCTCCTCACATGCAGTGACCTGGTCCTGCTGTTCTGCCTGGATCTCCTGCACAAGGAAGTGCAAACAATCCATTTGCTCTGTGAAGATTTCATCCAGGGTGCGTTTTTGCCTATGGATGAGAACCAGGCGGGCAGATGCAGTAGGAGGTGTAGGACATACTACTGGGCCAGATGGGTAAGGAAAAGTTACAAGGGCAGACATCACATGACATACTTTGTGTGATGCCTACCCCTAATCTCTTAGGGTATGTCTATACTTTGAAAAAGTAGAATGAACCAAAGTAAGGCCATGTGTGCCTACGTGTAGCAAGAGCAGAAAGGAGGATATTAGGCAGTGAACAAAGGCTCCATTTAAGTGAGACATTAACAGGTGATTGGTGATACTTAATAAGGAAATAGGGTACGTGACTGGCCCCAGGTAATCTCGTTAGTTTCACTCTCTCTGTTTTGAGCTCTTTTTAACTGTATAAATGAGATAGCCTGGGTGTTGCTAGAGAGACTCACTCTCCTGTCTGTATTGGCGAAGCGCTTTGCTAATAAACAGAGTGGTCAGCTAAACTGTGAGTCCCTAGTCTAACTTTGACAATTTGGAGGTTCCACTGAGATGGCAACCGTCTTCATGTAATTCATGGCCATGTAATTCCTGACCATCGTGGTAGCTGGCACCCGGGCGTTTGGCCCGAACGGTCCTCCGCCGGAACGGGAAGGTGCGCGACCGCAGTGAAGTCTACGCCATTGAACCTGTTGGTTCTCACTCTATTCTGGTGAATCCCGGGATCTGGAATCTGGTCAGGTAATTACCTCTGGTATTCGGTCTGGACCGAGGACTGTCTTGTCTCTGTGTCTATCCGTCTTCCCTGTGGTGTGAGTGAGTCCGGGAGCCGTCCATGTCCGGGGACTGGCCGACCAAGGGGCTCCTGTCCCAGTGGTTTGCGTGATTGGAATCTGCAATTGCAGCTGCACCATGCCTTGGATAAAATCCTTGGAGTGAACGCAAGGGTGATTGAGGCAGTAGCCCGTGGGCTTCTTTTGTGTGTTGCACTGGACACCACTCTGACAAACCCGATTTTCCTTCTTGTGCGAGTTATGTGTGTTAAGTCCTCCTGTATGGGAAATCAGACATCTAAGTCGGGGCAGTTCCCTAAGGGGACGTCGGCTCAGTTTATGTATTTTAGAAAGGGTCTGGACTCCTGTAAATTTCTGGAAAGATGGATTAGGTTAACTAAAGGGGATCCCAAAACGCAGTGGCCACTGTTAGGATCAGGGGACAAAGACCAAGTGGACGTCTTAAAAGACAAACTCGGTCAACCAAAAAAACTAAATTGGCAAAGGTGGAGGTTGACTGTTTCATGCAGTGGTGGGAAGAGGCAAATTGTAGATGGACTGAATCGAAATTCGCCTCCCTTAAAAATTCTAATGATAAACTAAAAACCCAATTGGATGAAACCTCTCCCGCTACCGGTCCGAGTGCTCCCTTATACCTTGTTTTGCATAGTGATCTGGATCGAACCCGACCCCCTCCGTATTCTCACCCCATTGAGAAGGAAGGCGAAGGAGGACCTTCATTAATTTCCAATAACGAAGACGAGGAAAATACCCTCACTGGCCTTGCAGCCCTGCAAAATGTTCAAGGTCCCCCAACTCCACGTCCTACCCGTATGCAATCTCCTCCTTCTGCTGTTCAGGCATCCTTGTGGGTCCTTCATGTGGAGGGAAGGGGAGCTGGTCCCTTTTGGAGTTATAATCCCTGGACTCGTGCAGAACTTTAGGCAATAATTAAAGGCTTCCCTGAGCCACAGGAAAATCCTGCTAAGTTCGCTGAAGAATTTTCACTGGTCTGTGAAACCTATGAACCCTCTGAGACGGACCTCCTTCAATTGTGTACACTGTTAGTCTCTACCAGCCAGTACAAGAAATGGCTGACTGCAGCAAATTGGCCAGCTGCAGATCGCCATTCGACCATGAAAGATACTGGTCCAGAAGTCGCATATAGAGTCCACTGTAGAGAAATTTGGAAAAAATCTATTCAACGCCATTCCCCAAGTGCGGACCCCAAAAATGAACTGGGCAGCCATATATTGTTGTAAACAGAAACAAAGGGAAAGTCCGGGAGAGTACCGAGCACGACTGACCGATGTTTTCAAACAGCATTCGGGAATATAGCAGTCCGATGAAAATGGATAGGGTGCCCTGGCACATGCATTTGTTAATGGTCTCCTCCCCCCTGCTATTGGCAGCATGTTAAAATGAGTTAGTGTTGGTTGGGAAACTGAGACCATGGATAAATTACAGACGGTGGCAGAGCATTGCCAGCATACTCTTAAAGGGAAGGAGGAACAATCCTCACAAAAGTTGATGGCCCTCCAGATACAGCATTTCTCAGGCAGAGGGCGGGCAATACAGGGACCATGGGGGTTTCCAAGGAAGGGGAAGAGGTCAGGGAAGAGGCCGTGGGTCTCGGTTTTCGGGATTTGGAGGTGTTTATAATTATTGTAAACTACCTGGGCACTGGAAAAACGAGTGTCCAAGCCAACGTAATGGCCCCATAAGCGATCAACAAGGCTACATGCCGCCCGCCGGTCCCCAACCATATTTTGCTCCCTGGCAATGATGGGATCTAGGGGAACCTCAAGAAATTCTAGCTCCCTTATTACCGCTCTCTCCTACGGGTCCTGACTGTCAATGACCTTTCACTTCCTTTCCTCGTCAACATGGGAGCCTCACCTTCTGCAGTCCATACCACCGATTTGCCTGCGGTTCCCCAATCTGGAAAAACTGTATCTGCTGTAGGTATTATGGGGGTTCCAACTCCCTATCCCCTCTCTGAACCTCTGCCTGTTCAAGTTGGTTCCCTCTTAGCTGAGCATGCATTTCTGTTGTCTGATTCCACTCCGGTTAACCTGCTGAGTCATGACTTACTATGCAAGCTCGGCTGCACCATCTACTGTACACAGATGGTGTGTATCTACAAATTCCTCAGCCCTCTCTGTTTGACTCTGCCGCCTCTCTGTTATTTTAATTCTCCCTCTCAACCCCGGCTCCTCTCTGTCCGCTAATTCTGTCTCTTGAACCTCTGCTTTCTCAAGTACCTTCTTGTGGCCAACTCATCCATTCGTGGTTAGCCACCTAAATACTGACCCTGTCTGTGTTACTGTCGAAATAGCATGTCCACATTGAGTGGACCCTGAACCGAAGTTAAGGCTGGCCGGAACCAGTGCTTGCAGGGCATCAGTTTAGGACTTAGTGTGTGGGGCTGCTGCCTGAGGCTAACTGAGCTCCGTTCTTAAAGGGACCCCGACCCTACCCCCACCCCGGACAGACAGTTCTCAGGGTTCCCTGCTTGCTTGTGTACCTCGATGAGGGACAGCAAAGCAGTCCTGTTTTGGAGTGCCCTGAGTGCCCGCACTCGGGACACCACAGCACTCGGCCACTTGAAATACTGCCCCAAAGTGTCCATTCTGTTCCTTAGCCTTCTGATAGGACTGCCACAGCTCTTTGATTTTCACCCTACGCTGCACGAAGGTCCTGGAATGGCCTTTCACTGCAAGGCTGGCTACGATCCTGCTGTTGATATGGCATTCCATTTTTTGGTCCTGAGATCGTTGAGGATGGTTTCATCCCCCCCATACCTCAAAGAAGTCCAGGATCTCCTGGCCACTCAAGACTGGAGTTCTTCTGTGCTCCTGGAAAGTGGAGACTGTGGAAGTACAAGAAGTCGCGATTGTCGCAGTGTTGGATGGACTGGAGATGGAAGTCATTTCCACGTATCTCACAGTGTACTGCTTTCTCACAAAGGGCTCACAAAGCTGTCCAAATGAGACAGGCCATTTTATAGTTCCTGGGGCTTTTTGAGCTCAGCAGGAGAGCTGTAGAGATGCAAAGTGTGGCCAGAGCGGACATAGTGGACAGCTACAGGAGGCCTCTTGGCAGCCAATGGGGTTGGAGTTCTGGCAATGCAGCATCTACACTAGATAACTTCAGCCATGCACAGTCAGGAAAAGCAGGACTACAGGATTCAACTTCCGCAGCCCCTAAGGATGGCGCAACAGGCTTGGTGCTGTGGATGAATCACTTAGATAATCGACTGTGGGGGGTTATATTTGGTGTAAAGTCCTAGTGTAGACCTGGCCAAAGAGATTTCCACATTTCTCCCACTTAAATTGTGAGGATCATAGATGTGTCCCATCTGACTAGGGAGTTCACTTCTGTGTCAGGAAGCCTATGGATATGGAGGAGGGCTGCATCCTACAAGGTATCTCTGGTCACTTGGCTGAAGAGACCAGGTCTATAGACAACCTGAGCAGATCTGAGACTGATCCTTATGATGAGCGGTCTCTGGAACTTTCAGTTGAGAACATCAGAATTATACTCTTCACCATTCACTGAACAAGACGACAGCACACTGGCAAAAGACGAGTCAGCCATATGATATTGCTGCAAAAAAAGCAATGCAATTTTGGGTTGTGTTAACAGAGGCTTTGCAATGATAGCACCGCTCTACTCAGTACTTGTTAAGCATTGCTGAAGTCTCCAATTTTACAGACTGTATAGAAATGATGCAGAGAAACTGGAAAGGATCAGGAAATGACCAACAAAGAGGATCTAAAGGATGGAGTGCAAGTCATATGAGCAAAGGGTAAAGGAACTTCGTTTAGTTTGGAAAAGAGGGGATTAAGAGGAAAAATACTTGAAAGGCTGCCATAAAAAAGGGGAAAAGCTGTTCTCTTGCTACAGATGATAGGACAAGTGGCAATGGGTACAAACTACAGCACTGCAGATTTAGATTAAGTGTCAGGAAAAACCTCCTAACTGTAAGAACAGTAAGACAATAGAACAGACTGCCTAGAGAGGTTGTGGAATTCTTCACTGAAAAATTTCAAAGGAACGCAGGATAGCCATGTGTCTTGGGTGGTTTAGACACAACAAATCCTTCATCTTGTCAGGTGCAGACTAGACAACCCTTGCAGTCCCTTCTAGCCCTCTGGTTCTATGATAAGAATGTGGCTTCAGATGATTGATCAGAATGAGGGCACCTGACTATTTAAGAGAGGAGCCCTCTCACTTATTGCTTAGCTTCTGATTGTGGAGACTTCTGTAAGTACAGTGCCTTTGGCAAGCACTGAGTATTTTACACACATGGTATTTTGAGATGAGATAATTACTCACCTGCTAATTCTGGTTCTCTGAAAATAGTTCCTCTCAGTTTGAAGCAGAAATGTTCTGAGGTGCTCTTCATATTTACATCTTTGTGTTCCTTGTTCCACTTTGGAAGCACTAACCTTTCAATCATTTTTGCTTTTGGGATTGGCTTGTTGTTTTTTGGGCTGCCTTCACTTTTAGCTATTCAGGAACTGACTGGAAGGTTCCCAGGGGAGGTGTAAAACCACAAATAGGATATGTATGGTTTGTGTTCCTCGCTGTTACTGTGTAGGTAATGGATAATCAGAAGGAAAAGCAAACAAGTGCTCTGCAGCAAGAACTCCACCAATCACAGTTTGAAATGGCTCCACACATTCAAAGAGAAGAGAGACCTTAAAACAAAATTACTAAAGTACAGGAAGCATATATACATGCAAGTGTTTCTGGAATTGGGCCTGCAGAAAGAGACCTGTTGATTCAATTGTGTATACAGAGACAAAAACTGGTGCTTACCTCACCATCAACTTTCATATAGACGGTAGGGACCACTTTGACGAAGTACTGGAACATCATGGAAGCTAGTAGCAGAAGACGAAGAGCCATTGTGAATAATCAGAAAAGACACTGATGGGTGTTCATACTGAACTTTAGTGACATTTCTTAGTATATTTTTCTTTTAAATGCTAATGTAGGTACTTTCCACGGCCAATACAGACAGCAGAAGAAACAGCCACATCATTATAAACTACCTAGATGTGTTACAGGCCAGGAGAACTCTGATTAGCTATAGTATATGTGGAATAACCACAGCACACAAAATAGACACAACAAAGCATTGCCAAATCATGCTGTAAAAGACATGTTGCATGGCCGAGACATACTTCTTAGCTATAGTTAAGGGTGGTGGTAGAATCATGAAGCTAAGTTAAAATATGCTGATCTCTAAATTCTTAGAAACTTGCCTACCTAAGAGGGACTTCTCTCCTTGTGACATCATTGCTTAATCTAGAGGCCCTTAGTTTAGCCAGATGAGTGTACTGGGAGGACATTTTCCACACAGGATACTGGCCATGGAACTCCTCCTGTATGCCATGATCACTCTTTTTTCCAGGCATTTAGGGTGAGGGTTAGATTGAAAGATCTAGGAAGGGCATATATCTCTCTGAGGCAATGGTAAGCTGAGCTGAATCTCTAAAAGATGAAGGAACTAATAATACACATTTCTTTTAATTGTTTACAGGGAATATTTTAATTTTGGTGAATGGCACCTAGAGCAAAGGATTGGGGCTTGAAATACAATCCAAATAAATCTGTACCCCCATGCCACAGAGGGTGCTCTGTTGCCACAGAGGATTCCCAAGGGACCTTGCCCTCTCAGGGAGGCTAGAGTTAGTTTAGAAAGCTTTCATCATTGGGGATGAAACTTTCCAAGCTTTGTCTCAAAAAGTGAATGGCCAAATTCACAGAATACTAAAACTGGAAGGGACCTCGAGAGGAAATCATGTCCAGTCCCCTGCCCTCACGGCAGGACCAAGCACTGTCTAGACCATCCCTGATATATGTCTATCCAACCTAGTAAAAAATTCTGGAGGCAGCTATTCTGCAAGGAAGATGGAAAGAGCAGGGGATGTTTCCTGTCCTCCCTAGAGGACACATGCTCCATCAAACTTCCTATGGCTCATGGTGGGTTATAACTGAGAATTTCTCCTTCAGCAAGAGCTGAAGAATTAATATTCTATTATAGAGAATTCCATGAAGAACTGCCATCTTTCAAAATGACTGCCGTATCCCATTGGTTTGGATAAGACTAAAGCTACACATTGCCTTCAGGTAACCATTTTGAAAATGAAGCTTCAGGGGGTAGCCGAGTTAGTCTGTTACAGAAAAAAAAAATGGTCTGGTAGCACTTTATAGACTAACAAAACATGTAGATGGTATCATGATCTCTCGTGGGCACAGCCCACTTCTTCAGATGACCAGAGTTATGATGCTGTAGGTGATTGTCTCTGTCTGTGGGGTCAGAGCAAATCCGGTTTTATCTTAGGGCTTGGCTGTATACAATAGATTGGGAAATGTGTCTGGGATGGAAGCTGGAGGCATGAAGGTAAGTGTAGAGGTTGGTGGGTTTCCAATATAGGGTGGGGGAAATTTGTCCATTATTTAACTGTACAGTAGTGTCCAGGAAGTAGATTTCTCGTGTGGACTGGTCCAGGCTGAGATTGATAGTGGAGTGGAAGTTGCTGAAATACTTGTGGAATTCTTCAAGTGTCTTCTTTTCTGTGGGTCCATTATGATGAAGATGTCATCAACGTAGTGTAAGTAAAGTAGGGATGTGAGTGGGTGAGAGCTGAGGAAACATTGTTCAAGGTCAGCCATAAAGATGTTAACATATTGTGGTGCCATGCGAGTGCCCATGGCTGTTCCGCTGACTTGGAGATATTTCCCAGACACATTTTCCAATCTATTGTATACAGCCAAGCCCTAAGATACAACTGGATTTGTTCTGACCCCACAGACAGAGACAATCACCTACAGGATCTTTACAGAGCATTCCTAAAACTGAAATACCCACCTGAAGAACTGAAAAAACAAATTGACAGAGCCAAAAAAGTACCCAGACATGAACTACTTTAAGACAGACCCAAAAGAGTAAACAACAGAACTCCTCTTGTTGTTACCTATAGTCACAACTCAGACCCCTCCAACGCATTTTACACAATCTACAACCCATCTTGGAAAATGATCCCTCACTCTCAGAGGCCTTTGGAGAAAAGCCTATTCTTGCTTTCAGACAACCCCCAAATCTGAAACAAATTTTTTCTGGTAACCATGCCACACTACCACATCATAAACCTCCAGGAACTCAGCCCCGCAATCAAAAAAAGATGCCAACTCTGCCCACATGTCTATACTGGCAAATTCATCACTGGCGCCAACAACATCAGCCACCAAATCAAAAGGTCATTTGACTGCACATCCAGTAATCTGATCTATGCCAGCAGTGCCCCACTGCTATATATATTGGACAAACTGGACAGTCTCTGCGGGAAAAAAATCAATGGACACAAATCAGATATATGCCAAGGAGACATACAGAAACCTATTGGAGAGCTCTTCAACCTTTCAAATCACTCTTTGAAAGATCTCCTAGTAGCTGTCTTGTCACAAACCAGTTCTACAAGCCAGATCCACAGGGAAGCATTGGAATTAGAGTTCATCCGAAAATTCAATTCACATGCTAACGGACTCAATGGTGACGAAAGTTGGTTGGGACACTACCAATTTAACAACCACTGAAGGTGCAAACAGCTCTCTGTATTATATCCTTCCTGACATGGGAGTCAGCCTATTGAGTTTGATTTTTATCAGCTTCAGTTTAACTATCCAATCTTCAGATACTTACCGATGCTGTGTCTTCACCCCTCTCCGTTTTTCTTCCCTCTCCCCTTCCCCTCTTCTATTTATTACGGGTGTACATATCCCAAACTCATAACTCCAGGCATCTGAAGACATGCTACCAGACCATTTGTGTGTTTGTTTTTTCCATTTTGAAAATGGAATTTATCTGTTTCCAGCTCAACGGGTCTGAGTGTTGCCTTTTACATTCTGATGCATAGATAGCCACCTGAAGCCTTGTTTACACAGAAAATATTTTTTGAATAATTCAAAATGAAAATTTAAACTGATACTGTTTACAAGTATAACTGTTGTGTGGACTTTCTTATTCTGGTATATAAGTGTCCTTTTCAGTTTATGTTGAATGTGAATGGGGCTTATGTTAAATCAAAGAGATACTCTTTATGGTGGAATACAAGTGTCCAAATGAGGAGTTATACTGGTACAACTATAATGGTGTGACTTAGATAACTTTCCTGTGAAGACAAGGCCTAAGAACTTCTTACTTTCACTGTAGATTTAATTTTGGGAGCAATAGAAAGTGCTCACCAATTGGAAAGAAGGCATCTTAACTGAAGTCAGTTTCAAACATCAATCCCATTAAGAGCAATGGAAGGTGGCAGTTATTCTGTAAGAAGACAATTCTTCATTTATTAAAAATAATGGCAAAAATTACCAGATCTACTCATTAGTGAGGGCGGGGCTAGGGACTGTGTGAGCACGCCATTGGAGTTAAAGAGGAAACTGATGTGTGGTTCTGTAAGCAAGAGGAATGTAAGAAAATACAAATGGCATGAGAACTTGGAGGAGAGGAAAGGGGGAAAATGGGTCTTTAAAGTCACATCTACTATATATTTGAGAGAGTTTGTGCATCTGTGTGTCCGTCCATGAGTTAGTTTGTTCAAGAACTCCTCCTTAACAGTAAGAGCTAGGACCACCACATTTGGTGTGTAACTTCCTCTTATTGTAAATTAAAGCAAGGTGAGGATTTGGTTGTGCCAAGACAATAGGATGTGCAAGGAATGTTATTGTTTCTCATCAATCAGAAAGGAAGGGCTGTGATAGCAGTGACAGTTATACTGCCAAATGACCACAGGGGGCAACCAGCGCCACAGTACCAGGGAACAGCCACCAGCCAGCCAGCATGGCCCTGAGCAGGCAGTGAGTGGGCCACCTGGCCCCCCATCGGCCCTAGGGAGCAGCTAGTGGCTGGGCAGCATGGCCCCATTGCCTCGGGCTGGCCTTGGGGAGCAGCTGCCCACCACCCCCATCCCCTGCCCTGGGCCCCCCCGCAACGCTTCCCAACCCCTGCCCTAACTCCTGCACCTCCACCCCTGCCCTGAGCCCCTCGTCACTCCCAACCCTAACACCTACACCCGAAGCCTCCTGACCTGAAGGACCCAAGCAGTAACAGGTAATCTTCTAGTATGCTATGCCAGAAAAAGACACTTATTTATGTATGCCCCAGCCCCTAGCAGCAAATGAGCAACTATCAGGGAGAGCACAAGTGTAATTTTTGCTAGGACAGTACGTCTTGCCCCTTATGCAGCCCCACCATGATTCTCCCAGCAGCCTGTACAAGTTACTCTGTGTTGCTTTTTAGGCTGCTCTGAAACATTTATTTGATACAAAAATGTTAGAAGAAATTCTCCTCAAGGCTGTACCTTGCTGTGCAGTGACATCTGTCCCATCCAAAGGGTTGACAAGGCCTGGATAATCCCTCCCAAATGAGAGATGTTTGATGTAATGCGTCATATTGATCTGAAACAGAAACACTGACACTCATATAGCTGGCACAACATCTACCCAGGGGCAGGATGATGGCCTTGGGTTTGCAGAGCATGAACCACTTTCTTTGGTGAGCATCTCTTCTCTCTTTCCCATGGGAAATTGCAATGTTGATGCCCCTGAAATTCCAAGGTGTAGGCACCTTTCCCCATCCTTCCCACAGTGGAAACCTCCCTTTAGGGAGAGGCTCTGAGGTGCAAGTGTCTCCTTTCTCCTAGTGCAGGACAAAGAAGAGCCAATTCAGATGCAATTGGGGGCACAGTAGAGTCCATGTCCCCTCTAAAACAGCATTTATATGGCTGTAAGACATGTGATAAGCGAAAAGAGAACAGAGAAGACTAGAAATTAGGAAGAAGAGAGACATGCAGTCTTTTAAAAGAACATTTCCCACCCTCTCTACATGCATGCTCTTACAACACTTACGTTATCAAGTCCAAAGCTCTGTAAATCATGAACTGCAATAGAAAAACAGCATGTTAAAATAATCTTGACCCTGGACCCACGGACATTTGTCAAAAAAAAGGAACTCCCATCATATCTACTGCTATCTAAAGCATTGAGAAAACACCCTGGATTTCTCATCTGCATGCAGAAGGGCATGTGACAGAACAACACTGAAAATCCACTTCCCAACTATACATGGGCGGCCTTGTGCTCGCCCCCGTGCTTGTCCTTTTGTCTGCATCACTGTTCGCCCTGAAGGCAAGTGGCGGTCCTGATGCCAGATTCCATCGCTTTCCCCGTTCAGGAACGCGGAGTAGGAGGGCCTGGGCCTGCCCTCTCTCACGGGCCCCAGCCCAGGGGTCTAAGGACAGGTTCACCTAGTCCTGTCTGGCCAGTGGGGAACAGCCTGAAACTCACCAGCCTGCCGGCCCCTTTATACCTAAAGGTCCTGCCCTGGGCTGCTTCCTACCCCACTAGTTCCAGCGGCGTCTCCACCCACCCTACCACACGACTCACCATCTGTCCTCCCCCAACTCTGTGTCTGGGCAACCTTTTAACCTCCGTCTGCCAGCAGCCTTGATAACGTCACCCGCTGACCCCCCCGACGAGCAGGGCGTCTTCCCACCCTCGGCGTGCCCTGGCATACGCCTGATGCTGCGTGCTCGCCCTGCCCCCGCCCGTCAGCTGTGCCGCTGCTGCCGAGCAACGGGCACAGCTGATCAGTGCTCTCCGGCCTTTCCCGAGGAACGCGAGTTGAGTGTGGGGCGGATCCGCCCTGTCACACCAACCTTAACTAAATGCCTCCAGAAAAACGGATGGAGTTACCTGAACTAGGGGCATTATTTAAAAGACACATCATTCATCATCAGACTATTTGCCCATGGCTTTAGAAAGCAAATGTTTAGGGTTTATTGGTCAACTATGAGAGTTCTGCTGGTATCCGTGTTCACTTGTTTGGCTTCAACTCTTAGCTCCTCAGATGGCTATAGAATGTGAAGGTAGAATAATGTTTACACCCATTCTGCACCAGTGACTGAACAAAGCATTTGCCTACAGAACTGTAAAAAATTCAACAGATGAAGCATCCAAACAGACTGTCAGCTTCCCAATAGCAGACAGCCCCCATCTGTTCTTCCCTGAAGCTAAGAGAGCACAAAGGGAAAAATGGAATTTATTTACTGTACTAGAAGTTCTTTGAGATGTGTGGTCCCTATCTATACTCTGCATATGAGTATGCATGCACACCACAAACCTTAGTCTGGAAAATCTTACAAGCAATGTCCATAGCCTTGTATATTTTCCATAGGTCTCTTCATTCTCCTACCTCTAAGGGCATAAGCACCAGTGTGGGGCAATGTCTATCCAGTTCTTTTTCTTCCTGCAAATCCAACAGGAGCCAAAGCAGAGAGGATGGAGTGGTGGTAGTGAAATACAAATAGGGATCATACATCTCAAACAACTTCCAGTTACAAAAAGTAACCTCCACTACTTCAAGCACCGGTCCCTATGTGTATTCCATACATAGGTGACTTGCAAGCAATGCTCACACTGGAGGTGAGTGCAAGGAAGTTGGCAACACAGATTCCAATCCCACCGATACGTGTAGTGAACATGTGTGGCTGGAGCTCCAGGTGGCCACCTGCAAATGCCTTGTCTCATGACCTGCAGGGATGCTGCGGAGTGAGCCATGACATCACCACAGGGCGGGAGTATGCCATCTTGTAGTGCTCTAGGAGGCATCTCAAAACCCACGTACAGATCCTTTTAGAGAATACAGCTTGCCCATGTGATCTTTCTGCTATGGTGATAAAAAAACTTGGTGATTTTTCTGACTAGTTTGGTTCTCTGCACACAGAACACCAGAGCATACCAGGTATCAAGGGAGTGAAGTCTCTTCAGGAGAAGCATGGTGCTTGAAAAAGCAAGTAAATGGATAATTTGGTTGATGTGGAATTCAGAAACAACTTTGGAGAGAAATTTCGGATGCAAAGTGAAGAAAAACCTCTGTGAAAAAATGGCTCCCAGCTTGATCATCTTTCTTGTCAAAATGATAGCCACCAGAAGGTTGCCTTCATGGGGGAGTGAGACATGCAGTGTCACTATGGGTTCATATTGTGGCTTGGTCAGTGTCAACAAGATAAAATTAAAGTCCCATATAAGTGTAGGTTTGATCAGTGGTGGGAAGGTCCTGATTAGGCACTAATTACTGCAAGGTGGACCTTCACCAAAGGCTTTTAGGGACAAGAGATAATCAAAGGACTTGTTTACACTGGCACTTTATTGCACTGTAATTTTCTTGCTCAGCAGTGTGAAAAAACACTCCCAATTACATCAAGTTACAGTGCTGTAATGCGCCAGTGTAATCAGGCTCCCAGTGCTGGGGGTCGTGCTCCCACTCCTATTAGCTATTCCCCTCATGGAGATGGTTTACTTACAGTGCTGGGAGAGCTCTCTCTCAGCATTGGTGCCATGACCACACTGTCACATTAAAGCACTCTCATGGCTGCGCTTTAAACTTATCAGTGTAGACAAAGCCTGGTTCCAAGGTTGTCATAGCCAGGGGTGGTAGTGGGGATAAGCTCCCACTGTCTATAAAGTACCCCTATACGGCGTGCGTCTCCAATAGCCTCTGACAACCAAGTCCAGCTCCTGGCCTTCACGTGCGGTTTAGCTTGTAAACCCGGCGGAACTGTTTTAACTGACAGGAGAAGGGGCGCAGGCGGGTCACTGGCGCCTTATAACCAGTTGCTTCGGGGAGATGATACTCGTCAGCCTAGAAGGCAGTTCATCTAGGGGAAGGAAAACCCTGATTTTAAACCTCCGCTGCCTTGCGGCTATATTCTTCCATGGAAAAGGCTTCAGGAGTAAACCTCGAGGAAAAATCCGGAGTCGGAGTCCCTAAGACAGTTCGACGCTGCTTGCAGCCTCGCTCTGGCAACTCCTGCGACGGCGCCGATGCCAAACTGTAGCAGCCCTGCTGTTCCTTTGGATCCATCGACGACGTGGAGAGGGGGGACCCGCTACGTGGGCAATAGCCTGTTCCTCCATATTACATCGCCCTGGCTAGTATCCGACTACCAACATATCTGTCAGCAGAGACGGACTCTTCAAAATCCTTCACAAGATCGGCTGCCCCCCAAAACTGCAGAGTTTGATTGAATCCTTCCACACAGACATGAAGGGAACAGTGCAGTTTAACGGCAGTTGCTCCGAGCCTTTCAGCATCAGCAGCGGCGTCAAGCAAGGCTGCGTTCTTGCCCCCACATTGTTTGGGATCTTCTTTGCCCTGCTCCTTAAGCATGCCTTCGGCTCAGCAACGGAAGGAATCTACCTCCGCACCAGATCGGACGGCAAGCTATTCAATCTCTCTCGCCTCAAAGCCAAGACGAAGATACGCGAGACGCTGATCAGGGACATGATATTTGCCGACGACGCAGCAGTCGTCACACACACCCAGGAAGAACTACAGTCGCTGATGAGCCGTTTTTCCATGGCCTGCAAAGACTTTGGGCTGACTATCAGTTTGAAAAAAAACAAACGTCCTAAGCCAGGACACTGTCACTCCACCAGCCATCACAGTAGACGACTACCAGCTTGACGTCGTCCACCAGTTCACGTACTTGGGCTCCACCATCACCGATAATCTCTCCCTTGACGCTGAGCTCGACAAGAGGATCGGGAAGGCAGCCTCTACTTTAGCCCGCCTGACAACCCGAGTGTGGACCAACCCCAGGCTGACAACCGCAACAAAGATGGCAGTGTACAACGCCTGCGTCATCAGCACCCTGCTGTACGGGAGCGAGACATGGACCACATACGCGAGACAAGAGCGGAGACTGAACGCCTTCCATCTACGAGGTCTGCGCCGCATCCTGGGTATTACCTGGCAAGACAAAGTCTCCAACTTCGAAGTTCTGACTCGAGCCGGCCTCCCCAGCATGTACACCATGCTCCGACAACGTCGCCTGCGTTGGCTTGGCCATGTACGCCGCATGGAGGATGGGAGGATCCCAAAGGACATCCTCTACGGGGAACTGGCATCTGGGAAGAGAACCACAGGGCGCCCGAACCTGCGATTTAAAGATGTCGTGAAGAGGGACATGAAAGCCATCGACATAAACACGCAGTCCTGGGAAGACCTCGCAGCAGACCGCCCAAAGTGGAGGGGCACCCTGACCACACAGCTCAAGTCAGGCGAAACGAACATGATGCGTGCATCAGAAGAAAAGCGAGCCCGCAGGAAGTTACGCAACAACAACAGCCAGGGAACCACCTATAGCTGCGACTTCTGCGGCAAAGAATGCCTGTCCCGGATTGGCCTTTTCAGCCACCAACGACGCTGTCCCCGACGCTGTCCCAGACAATTCGACACGAACCAAGACGAGAACTAGGATACGTCATCCATGGTCAACTGACCGACGGAGGCCAACAACAACAGACAAAGCCTAGGGTTAATGGAATAGCTGCAGTAAGTGGAGAATGTTCATTGTGCTGTGTTGAGGCAGAACAAAGCCTTTGTTTGGCCAGGCAGCAGATTCCAGTTGAATCATTCCCAGTTTGGGTAAGAATAGTCTCAACAGGAGCTGAACAGAAATGTTCCATCCAAACATCAGACTGAAGGGTGCAGTGACCTCTGACTGAAGTGTTGGATTCTGCCCTCTCCTAAGTCAGGAGATTTTAATAGGTGAAGATCTTGATGGGGCTGAGGGGGGGAGGGCAGAAATGGTCAGTAGTGCTGTTAACTAAAATTGTCTGTGCCAGCTGGGTGCTAGAAATGGGTGATAATGGCTCTGTTGTGACAATCCTTTCTTATGACCTGTGAAAGCAGGGGAATGGGAAGAAAGGCATATTTAAAGTCATTGGTCCAGGAGCAATACGGTGGAAGTTTTCTCTTCATTTGGGACACAGAGTCCTATTGAAGTGTACCCCACTGTGAATATTTCAGTCAGGATTGACTTGTGGGTCTACTACTTGTATTTCACTGAGAAACCCCTGTCGGGTTGTCTGCTAA